ACGCGAGTTATGTATTATGTCTTATTTTTAATATAAAGAAGCTATTGTACAACTTATGCACTGCGTTGCATCTTGATTATGTCAGCAAGACATGATATTATAAATACCCCTGTCAAGAATTATTTTACTCACTTATACAAGTGTATTGGTCTTTGCGACATCTCATTTGTGAGTCAATTTTCAACTTTTGTTTAAATAAAGTTTTTCTGTTTTTAAAAACGGATTTTTACTTTAAACAAAAATAACCCGCGGATCGCGATTTCGATCTTTTTGGATCTCATCAGCGCGTCGTTTCAGCAAGTAGATACCCATATATTTAAATGGACCTTGTTGGAACATACGTAATGCTAAAATGTAGCATCGTACTACATATGGCGCTCACCACGCCATTTGTAGTATTTTCTAAAACGCGCTGTTAAGACAGCAGGTATAGGTTGGTCTGTGTGTTCTGTCGGAGCTGTCTGCGACGCGCTGATGAGATCCAAAGAGATTGAAATCGCGATCCGCGTCTGGCAGTTTCGACAGAATACAGACCACTTCGAAATATTTTGTTCGATTATGGTAACGTGCCCATCACATTGAGGTGAGGTATGCCGGGATTCGTTTCAGCAAGTAGATATCCATATATTTAAATGGACCTTGTTGGAACATACGTAATCCTAAAATGTAGCATTGTACTACAGATGGCGTTTACCGCGCCATTTGTGGAATTTTCTAAAACGCACTGTTCAGATAGCAGGTAAAAGTTGGTCTGTGTTCTGTCGGAGCTGTCTGCAACGCTCTGATGAGATCCAAAAAGATCGAAATCGCAATTCGCGTCTGGCAGTTTCGACAGAATACAGACCACTTCGAATTATTTTATTCGACTATGGTAACGTGCCTATCACGTTGAGGTTGGCTACGCCGGGATTCGTTTTCAGCAAGTAGATATCCACACAAGTGGGCTTTGTTGGAGCATACGTAATCCTAAAATATAGCATCGTGCTGCAGATGGGGTTTACCGCGCCATGTGTAGTATTTTCTAAAACGCACTGTTAAGACAGCAGGTAAAAGTTGGTCTGTGTTCTGTCGGAGCTGTCTGCGACGCGCTGATGAGGTCCAATAAGATTGAAATCGCGATCCGCGTCTGACAGTTTCGACAGTATACAGACCACTTCGAATTATTTTAATTTATTAGTGTCTTTAAGTTCAATAATCATTAGTGTAAACAAATAATTTTCGTCTTAGATGTTAAATTTTGTTAAACCCACGAACATTATAGTATGCATATGCATGTTGTACACAAAAACAAACAATGCTTTGTCACTTTACCTTTCCAATTATTATTATCTAGATTTTTTAAAAAAGTTCTTAATTAATTTAGACTTTCTCTGGCACACTTTCGTATATTATGTATTAAATTATGTAAATTTCAAGGTGAATATAAGTAGTCATTTTTTAGGTTTTCAAATGACGGACATTGCACACCTTCTAAGTTGATAATATTAACATTTTTATCATCCAGAATATCTTGAGTCCATTTGACCTTCTCTTGACCCTTTACATAAATGGTTGTTGCATCATTTAACTGAAGTTGTATTTTCAGAACATGCCTTATCAGATTGTAATCAATTATTCCTTTTCAACCAACGATTTTCACTTACGTATTTCGGTGATAGAGATTGATATTGATGTGGCGGTTTAACTAAAAATACATTTATGTCTTCATTTGAAAGATTGCAAACGGATACTCCTTTTGCAACAAATGGATTATTGTTTGTTTTAAAAGCTTGTGAATCAACGAATACAGTCTTTTCCATTATATTTTTAAAACCGTGCAAGCATGCATCTCTAAACAGGTCTTGAACATTACTTTCTCCTATTGTACTTTTTCAGAAAACAGAGAATAATAATTATAAACACATAAAAATAGGTTACATGATACTGATACAAACTTATGACTAATTCTTATCAGTTGAGGGACCTTTTTCAGTAACATAGGTGGTTGAAATGTATTTATGTCAGTAGTATAGATATAGCGGTTCTGAATAAGAGTGGGGATGATTATTTTTGGCATTATTATCTCTTTTCTGCGCATGCGCTGGGCGGGGCTTGTGTATTTTTACTTCTGATTGGTTGTTTTTTTTTGAGAGGGGCGTGGCTTGTGATATCTTTCGACCAATGAGCGTTCGTTCTTTTGGATAGGAGGGGGGGTATGACCGTATATGGTATTATTTTTCCAGGGGGCGTGGCTTGTGATATCTTTCGACCAATGAGCGTTTGTTCTTTTGGATAGGAGTGGGGGTATGACCGTATATGGTATTATTTATCGAGGGGGCGTGGCTTGTGATATCTTTCGACCAATGAGCGTTTGTTATTTTGGATAGGAGTGGGGGTATGACCGTATATGGTATTATTTTTCGAGGAGGCGTGGCTTGTGATATCTTTCGACCAATGAGCGTTCGTTAGTTTTGGGATAGGAGTGGGAGGGTATGACCGTATATGGTATTTTTTTTTTTCGAGGGGGCTTGGCCTGTGATATCGTTCGACCAAATGAGAGAACGCGAGCGCTCGTTGATCTTGAAAAACAAGATGTCGTCGTGGGAGGGGAAAATGGCTGCTGCTGCTGCTGCTGCTGATGCTGCTGCGGCGGCGGCGGCGGCGGCGGCCATAGCTGGGGCGTGAAATATGAATATGTCTGATAAGTGATAATGATTGTACTATTGTTTTATTATTTTTTTTTTTCAGTAACGGATTCATAACTAACGTTATATAATTTTTTCTAAAATTGTTTATATACAGCATTTGAGATCTTATCTGCTTTGTGTTTGCGATTATAGTAAATTAAATTAAACTTTAGCTTTCATTTAAATTATAATATTTTTTATTTACATACAGGTATAATACAAAGTAGACCCTCGAAGTGTTCCAGAACCTCTATAGCTATACTACTAGTGGTGTCTTATAAACCAAAAAAAATTATAGGAACTGACTATTGTTGTTGATGTAGTATCCCATGTCGTTAGGAAACATTTGCGATTCACCGCCGACGACGATATCCTATATACAGCATTTGAGATCTTATCTGCTTTGTGTTTGCGATTATAGTAAATTAAATTAAACTTTAGCTTTCATTTAGATTATAATATTTTTTATTTACATACAGGTATAATACAAAGTAGACCATCGAAGTGTTCCAGAACCTCTATAGCTATACTACTAGTGGTGTCTTATAAAACCAAAAAAATTATAGGAACTGACTATTGTTGTTGAT